TTCATCTAAGTCCTAATTCGCCAGACTTTTTGTTTTATTTTCAATTAAATAATAAAAAATCTATAATTTTTTTATAATTGTTCCATTTTTTGTGAAAAATATGTGTGCAATACATTTTTTTTGTAATAGTGTACTCGAATCCGAACAATAAGAATATTTTCTATCAAATATAATTTTATAAAAATATTTTATATTATGCGTGAAAATATTTTTGTAGATTTCGCGGCTATATAAATTCCAGATTTTTCTATATTAATTAGAGGACGAGAATTCAGCGTACTTATCTGGTTTCTCTGTTTTTGTTGCAGATAAAAATCGACCGACTCGAAGATTAGACTATGTTATTTCGGATAACGGATTGATCGCACCCGTCGCTTCATTTACACGTGAGTATGCATTTTTCGAAGGAGTGGTATCCCATTTGCAGGAGTAGCTCGTTTATTCGGTGACATTACTCACTAATGACTTCCACGAGGCTTCGCAATATTCAGAGAAAATACGCTAATCACGTTCTATAATTAAGTTCTATAATCTGACTTACGTCAGACTGGATATATGACCTTACGTTTAAAATTGTATCTGCCGCCATTGAACTTTTGCAACTTTGTACTATGGAAAATGTCGAAAACATAGCGGCATAATGTCATTCCACGAAACCTAGTTATTTGTTACATTTGCACTCTCCTGACAACATCGGGATTACGATATCTTCGGTCTTATCGCAACGCAGCACTTGCTCGACTCCTCTTAGGTCGGACATGAAAAATCTTGGTTCGCGTTGGACGGTCCCCGACATAGCACGCACTGCCGCAGCGCGTTCGTCATTTCTCGTCGCCATTTCGTTGGAACGAGATTCAGGTAGCAGCAGCAGCAGCAGCAGCAGCAGCAGCAGCAGCAGCAGCAGCAGCAGCAGCAGCAGCAGCGGCAGCAGCAGCAGCAGCAGCAGCAGCGGCAGCAGCAGCAGCAGCAGCAGCAGCAGCAGCAGCAGCAGCAGCAGCAGCAGCAGCAAGAGCAGCATCCGTAACAGGAACAAAACTAGAAGTAGCGGTAGCATCAGCGACAGCAACGGCATTAGCAGCAGCAGTACTCGCGTGACGGCGATCGACAAGAAGAGGGAAAGCAAGAGTAGCGGCAGATTGGCAATCGACGTGCTGCACGGAGCGCCCTTATCCGTCCGACCGTACGTAACGGCGTCGTGTGACCGCATCGTCGGCACGACGCGCCCGGAATCGACGACGCCCAGGAATCGGCCGGTAACCGGCAAGTCACGCCGCTTTCAGCACCGGACCCGTCGTCCTCGTCAGCCGCAGCAGCAACTTTACTATCCCCCCGCGTCGTGGGACACGCGCACACTACACTTCAGGAACTGTTAGCACCGATCAAAAGTGAGTCCAATCCATCGATGGATCATACTCCACTTTCGTCTTGAAAATCTTCGTATTGAAAATAAATTTACTAAACTTTAACAAATATTTGTTTCAATAGTATTAATTAACGTTTACTTAATAAACGTTTACTTATAGTAAATAAATATTTACTAAAAAAAATAATATTTAAATAAAATTATTGAATAGATAAATTGACTAGATAAATATATATTTACATTTAATAAATATTTAGTTTAGTACTGTTCAAATAAATATTTATTAAAATTTAGTACATTTTTTTACATAATTCTTCATGTCTCATATATTTAGTTTCTTCAATCTTACTTTATTTTTTCTTCATAATTATTCAATTCAGTTTCGATAAAAGTCGATTTGTATTTTACTTATTTTTTTTACAGATTTAATTCATTATAATTCACTGTCTTTAAAGATCCTGTTGTTGGCAATTAAAGGCTCAATAGCATCAGTAATATTATATTGCTTATCAATTTAATTTAATAATTGTGATGTTGAGTACTCCAACTTTAGTTTAAATCTATATTTCAAGACCGATAAATAATTGGCATTGTAGTTTGCTTGAACAGGAAATTCATACAAAATATTATCAGGCATTGTAAAATTCGCATAAAATATTATTAGACATAACTCGCTTTGATCGAATATGGCCTTCTTCATTTTTAACAATCTTGATTTACATTGCTATTAGTATTTTTTTCTGAATTGTAAAATTCAGTAAAATATTACCAAGAAATATTACTCTTTTATTGTTTATGTTAATATCTTTTTCATTCTTTCAATTTTCTTCCCTCTATTTTCTTATCCATTTTCTTTCACTTATTATTCTTATGTTACGTTTTTCACTGATCGTAGGAAGGTGGCTCAGCTGTGCGCAGCCTAGACAATGTCCGAAGATTCTGACTCTATATCAGAGGAAGAAAGAAGTTTGTTCCGTCCGTTCACGCGGGAGTCCCTGGCAGCGATCGAGGCTCGCATTGCCGAGGAAGAGGCCAGGCAGAAAGAGCTTCAGCAGAGAAGAGCGGAAGGCGAGGTATGAACGCGGCCGTATGCGCTCGTCGCACGATCGCGCATTTCTAATTTTCTTCGCGCATTAACTACATCGACACATAATTCGTCATGTGCGTATATCGTAGGTACCCCTTAAGTAGCGCCAAATAAATTACGCGGTCGTTCCATAACGATCACGTTCAGGCATTTCGATTCTTATTTCACGGAAACTCTCGAAGAGATATTATTTGAACTCTGTGAAAAGATCATATTGATAATTCTAAAAAATATGCTTTTGCGTAAATGTTCGTTGTACATACATATGCTTGTTCTCCAAACTCGTATCGCTATTTCGAGTTTGTTGTTATCCATTGTATAATTTTTCAATTAGTCATATATTGATTAACGCTAGCGGGTATATTTATCTGACGCTGCTAATTTTCCTGCCAGGCTCGATTGTGCGATCAATTAATTTTCCTGTATAACTACTGTCCTCTTTATACATATTCATGTGTACATATCTATTCATATGAGACGAGCAATGTAACAATAAAAGTTTACAAGTCTTTACGAAAAAGATATAACATTCATTTAATTTGAAAATCCTATTGCACAACAGATCTTAGAACTTTCAAAAATTCGGTTCTTTGATACTAATATACAATATATTTATTACCATTGCGCCCACAGGCGTTCGTATAAATGTGTTAAATAAAAATTTTGCATTTTGAATGCTACTCATACTTAAGAGTTTGTTATATTCATTCTTATAAAATATTTTTATTAAAATTTTTTTTAAGAACATTTTAGCAAAAATAATATTTTTAATTAATAAAATAAATACGCATTCAAACAAAATAAATAGAATATGAAATGGATAATATTTTTTTAAATACATCAGGAGTTATACGATAATACTGCACTTATCCAATGTATTTGATATAATAAAAGTAAATCAATTTGAATAAACAAACAACAGAAATTTCAGATAAAGGTACATCAATATTTAAAAAATTTTAGATTACAGTATTCAACTTAAATATATTTGTTTCCTAAGAGATACGTTCTTTGATATTTAATGGAAAGTGCAATTTTTTTAAATTGATTAATCTTAAGTATGAGCTGCCTTAAGCGGCGTTTACAAGATTGAGATTTTAAGGAGTAAAATTGAAGCCTTAAGCCTTAAATCGTAAGAAATTGACCAATCATAGTCAATTATTCTTCTCACATTCGATTATGATTAGTCAACTTCTTGCGTACGGCCTAAAGATTAAAGCTTAAGACTTGCGCCTTAAAATCTCATTGCAAATACCGCTTTATCGTTAACCTTCCTACGCCTAGCTGTAGCGCCGTTTGCGAAACCCTTTCTTGTTCATTCTTTTCTTACATGTCAAATTGCAACAGGATTCATTTGTTCCCCTTATCCATTCGACTGTCCCTTTGATTGTTTGCTTGATCTATTTATCGCTAACGTAGTGAGGATGTAACTATCTCTTTACCGACGACTGTTTAACCTCATTTGTTTATACATACATATATCTGTCGTCGAGTAATGTATTGTGTGTGTTACGAAAGATATGTCACGAAGCTCGATGTCTGCAGTGCCACTTATCTCTGTGCCTACTTATACATAAATACGTACATATATATAAATATATATACATATACATATTTTTTATGTGCGTGAATATATCGCTCATGTGTCGTGGCTACCTCCACTCTCTTTCTCTCTCTCTCTTCGCCACTCATTCGCGTTAATGAATAACGCGCGAGTGCCACGCGATGGGAGATGATTATCACGGTGGAGCGTATTAATGTAAATCCAACAAATGAGTCCCTTACATCCTTATAATTAGCGTTCCTAATTTGCCTCATGGCTATAATAGCAACACCGATAAAAGGAGCGGATTTATTTATTAACCTTCGTCCTCCTCCACGTCTATCGTTCAACATTGATCGCGCTGTTTGAAAATTACTTTCGCAAGAGGAGCAAATCTTCTCCTTTTATTGCCTCCTTGTATTATACTCCAGCGATGAAAGGTCAAGGAGAGAACGAGAGAGAAGCAAGATCAAGACTGGATTATCATCGATCGTCTCTCTTTCTTTTTCTGTAATGAATCTTAACATCTAAGAGTGTATCCGCTTACTATTTTTGCATTTTTTAAAAATATATCACGAAGTTTGTGAATTAACTTTTTATTTAGATGAATAAATTATTTCGTTCCTTTTATTAATTGTGACAGACGCTACTTTATTTAATCAAATGTTTAAAGGATAATGTTTCGTAACAAAATTTTTTAAAATAGATTAAAATAAAAGTTGATAATGATACGGATTCTAATTCTCTGTGAAAATTATTTTCGAATTCCTAGACAAGCCGTATTTTCCCAAACAGTTAATCCAGTCCCGATCAAGCTTGATGTGCTTGGAAACCTCTTTCCGAATTGCCTGATCCTGTGTATTTTCCTGTCGTACGTCAATGTCGTGATGTAACATTGTGTTTCTTCTCCTCCTTTTGTTGCGATCTATCTCCCCTTAGTCTCTTTCTGTCTTTCTCTCTCTCTCTCTTTCTCTCTTTTTCTGTTTTTCTTTTCTAAAATCGCCCGATTCAACTCTTACTTTTCCAAAAGTTGCAAACTGAGCCATCTTATCGCAATCTCCCTTGTTATAACATATATTGGCATATTATTTTTTTTTTACTCTATTCATTCACTGATATCCCCCGTATTCTCTGTATCTCTGTGTGTAACGACTGTTTCTCCATTTCTCCAATTTCAGGGAGGTTATGGACGGAAGAAAAAGAAAAAAGAAGTAAGACGTTACGTCACGCTAAGTAATACCGCTCTCTCTATCTCACATCCGACTCTTCTACCTTACTAACATACACACGTGCACATGTACACGTCACATACACACATATATATATATATATTTCTCTCTCTCTCTCTCTCTCACACACGTGCGCAACACGCACACGATCTCACGATTTTTCCTCACTCTCGGCAGCATTTGGCCGATCGATCGACTAGACACGCGTCACTCACTCACTGCTCAACGCCACACATACGATACAATACTTGCTCACATTTTGTGCAGGGATTGAAAACAAGAATAATGAACTTTTCAGTTCCACGCGAATGTCGAAGAAGAATCGATATTGGTAATAGTCACGGACGATTCCACACTTTCATACTATACTGCGTTTATATTGGAATTTTACACAGTCGATTTTACATTAATTATTGGCTTACGGATCATTTTAATTTTATTAGTTTCTTTGTTTGTTTATTAATCTTTGATATGTAAATCTTTTCTTTCAGAGAATCATTTAGTACTGTTCCTTTTGAATATAAAATAAAATAAAATAGTATATTTTTTAAAACAATAAAGAACAAATTGAAAGGCGATTGAATGTAGCAACGGTGTAGTAATTAGAGTACAATAGATTTCCAGTAAATTTTTTAAAATGCTATCTT